ATATAATTAGTAATATTAATTAATTTTGTAAACCATTTTTTTTTTTTTATAGGTATAGGGAAATACCTACAAAAACAGTGTCTGGAGATCCCTTATAGGTAGAGTGGCCCTGGAGTGATTATTAATAGTGAGTTTGCCTTTTCTCAGAAGTATCCTATTGGGATGTTAATGGTCTGGCAACTCATGGACCTCCTGCCAGTTAGGCTCTAAATACTGATTTTCAGTCCCAGCCTTTCTCTATGCACAGAGACAGATTATTATGGGATGCTGAAAATCTCTTGGGTAGTTCTGAAAGTCTCCCTAAGGCTTATCTGGTAAATCAATACCTGCCCTGGTTGGGCTTTGTGCTAGATTAAGCTGCTCAGAATTGTAGTCCAAGGTAGGCTCAGTTTGGCCTGCTCCCAGAACTAACCTTTTAATCTTCTCTTCCATATATGCTTTTACTTCTAGGCTGCTCTCCTCTTGTGTCTCTAAAGACATTTTCCTCTAAGCTTCAAACTTTTATCTTGCCTACAGAGAAACTTCTTTTGCCTCCTGGTGTGTAGACTGACTCCCGGATGTTACCATCCTCTCACCAAGGCATCATTTTCAACCCCATAATTCTTTTTAAATTAGTTTTTTCTACAGCTTTATCAAATTATAATCAACATAAAATAAACAAATATTTATAGTGTGTCTTTGCTAAATTTTGACATAGCAAAACCGGGAAATTATCACCATAATTAAGATAATGAACATATCCATCACCCCTCCCCGCTGCCCTGAGTGTTATTGAACAGAAAGAGTTCATCTACCCAGTGCTAGCAGTCAAATACTAAACACCAAGAATTGCAGTGGAGGAATATTGGCCATTTTGTTATGAATGGTGCCATCCAGGAGAATCAGAAGCTAATGCTCAAGAGCTTGAACTCCTCAGTGATGTGTAGGTTACAGATTATATAGGCAAAATCACAAGACACCGAGGATTGGGGGAACTGGGTCGTGTTGGGAACTGATTGGTCAGAGTGGTAATGAATCATTTTTTCAAGTCTTGAGGACAGTTCTAAGGTCTTTTCCGGAGTCTCTCTGTCCGGTCTCATAGGAAAGTAGCCAAGGGGTTGTTCCATCTTAGGACTCAGGAAATGAAACATAAGTTAGGTCAAGATGTTATCTTTAGCTTGCCAGAGGTCCAGACCGTGTAACCAATAGTCAAGTCTGTGTGTGCGTGTGTGTGTGTGTTGGTGGGGATGATTTCGAGAGCATAAAGTTAATCAAAGTCCTAAGGACCCTGGGTTTCACAGTTTTCCTAATAATCTATTTGTAATCCTGCCTCTTCCCATCACCATGAGGTAACCAGTGATCTGTTTTCTGTCACTATACATTTATTTGCATTTTATTGAATTTTATATAAATAGAATCATACATAGTTGTACTTTTTTGGGAGGTGGGGGAAAGATTTGGCTTCTTCTACTCGGTATAATTATTTTTGAGATTCATCCATGTTGTGTGTGTTAGTACTGTAGTTCATTCCTTTTTATTGCTGAGTAATATTTTATATATAAATATCCACAATTTATTCAGTTGTTGATGGATATTTGGGTTGTTTCCCATTTTTAGCTATTACAAATAAAGCTTCTACAAACATTCATATACAAGTCTTTGCTTTCATTTCTCGGGAGTGGAATGGATATGGTAATTGTTTAAATTTAATTTAGAAATTTATTAATTAATAAACATTATTTAGATGCAATAAATATATTTTCCACCAAGAAGAGGGGAGTCATTTCCACACATGGCTAAAGACTAAAAATGCTACAGCAGTTAGGAGCAGTTAATAAAGTCAGGACTTTTCTTTCTTTAAAATCAGCAAGCTAATTGTTTATGTTTCCTAATTGCCTATAAATGGAGTCTAGGCTTCTGGTGATCAGTGTTAAAATTACACCAAAATAATTTAAAATTAAACTAAAGGGCAAACCATGTTTTCAGAATTATTTGCTGTTGTGTAGACCTATTGTATTCTTAACATACAAGAACTTAGGCAAGAGACTTTATTTATGACAGATAGCAGTTGTGAATTCATGTTCAAACTGGAGCAGAATCAATAGGAAAAGGATAGCTTTATTTTTATTAATATTAATTTAATCTTGCCCAACTTTTTACTAATCCATAGCAATTTCCTGGGTGATAGTTACTTTAAAAAAATTACCAAATAAACATATAAATATTTAAGGGAGCCCGTTTTTATTTTTAAAAGGATGTAGTCCCAAGGCAGTGCTTACATTTTGTGTCATCTTAACACATGATCAGCTTTAAGCTTTGCCAATCCATAGTTTTGTGTCTGTAGGTTAACATAGAGCGAGTTATTTCAGAAGGAGAAGGAGAACTAATGTTTATTGTTCACCTGCTATGTGTTGGCACTATGGGGGTGCTTTCTGTACGTTGTCTCATTACTTCGTCTCTCACCGCAGTTAGCATAAAGGTGAGTTTCCTTAGCATGGCCCTTAGCAACTCAGTGCTGTCCACTTGTCCAGCCTTATCTTTTATCACTACTAGTTTTGTATTTTGTACTTCAGCTCATTTCTTTTAAATCTTCAAATGTGCTTTGTTTTCTGTCCCTTCCCAGCTTTCTCTGTTTCCTCTACCTGACTCTTTTTTCTCCCCACCTTTATGCTCCTTAGAACTAATTTTTACTTACACTTCTCGCCTAGGTTTAGGTCTCACTTCCTTGGGTGCCTGCCCTGAACTCCTATAAGACTCTTAAGTTCTATTAGAGTCGGGCCTGTGTGTTCTTGTGCACCATTTTATTCCTATCAAATGAGTCTAGTGCTTAGTATTTGTTGAATGACTGAACAAATAACCAACCTTCTCAGACGGCGTATTTTATCCCCAAGTCATAAAGCTAGTAAGCAGTGGACCCTGGAGTTCAAATGGAAGACAGACACCAAGGCCATGTTTTTTCACTACACTAAGACAAGCTGCCCTACAGTTGTAGTCACTAAACACTCTAAGGAGGACTGGCAGGCAAATGAAGTAATTGAATTGAAACAATACACCAAATTACATAATTGATCTAATATAGAAACATAATGAAGCCAATTTTCCATAAACCTAATCATAAAATACTGCTTTTACTATCTTTGGAAAATTGGGTTATTCTGATTTTAGACTTATTACAGATTTAAATAAATGATTCAATAAAGACAGCCTGCAAATCTAGTGGAGTTCATGGGATCCAGAGATTATTACCCTGAAAATACTTTATTCTTAGGGTCAGATTCACCTGTTCCATTCCCCCCACCCCCACCTTTCTTTGGCATGTTTGCAAAGACAAATCTCTGTCTCCCAAGGTACAACTAAAATGTTAGAATAATTCCTGGAAATTATGCAAAAACACTTTCCTTAAATGAAAGGTTACAGATGCTGTTACTTTTCTTTCTCTATATTTTCCTTTAGCCACTCTCCTTCTGCATTGTAGATCTCGTTCCCCTTTAAAGAACCTCTTTGCTTTATCTCCTTTGGGTCTGGTCACTATCTGCTTCTCCAGCCTAATCTATTGCCCCTTACCTCCTCAAAGTTTTTGTTCCATTTACACAGAAGGATTTGAAGTTCCCCACCGAAATCAGTGCCCCAGGACTGAAACCTTTGCTTAGTCTGTTTCTTAGCATTTGTTATATTCTTGTGTGTCTCCTGTTCTAGACTCTAAGCCTTTTTAGGGCATTTACCGTCTCATAAGAAATCCTATATCTCAGAATCCCCAGAACCTGACATAGTTCCTGGCATATATTTTACTTCTTTAGTACATTGTAAAAAAATAAAATAAATAAAATAAATGTTGGGCCTCAGATCTTCTTCAATATGAGGTAATAAGTTGGAGGTAGTCCAGAGCAGGAGGAATCAAGGATAAACTCGCTTGCTCTGAACCTGCAAAATTTGACTTCTAGATTAAATTAGTCTTTTGTGGTTTTCATTGTCTAGTGCTAACAGTGTTATCTCTTTGGCTCTTTGAGCTAGAAGAGAACATGGACTTATAGTTTTACCTGAGTTACTGGAAAGTATTTGTCAGGACTAACTACAGAATATTTAATTAAAAAAAAAAAATGAATGAAATTCAGCCCATAGGCCATAAATTGTAATCCCCAAAGTAATTTAAAAGGGTTTGTCTTACATTTGGTTTGTCAGACCAAATGCCCCTTTAACTTGTATGCCCTGTCAGCTTAGAGCCCTGGAATAAATCTCTGATTTCCGCTTCCTTGGCTGTCCTATATTTGGTCGAACTTTTCTTTTTCTGTTTTTTCAACATGCTTTTCTAATTTAGGCCTTATTTTCCTGAAGTCGGAACCAGGCTAAATACAGATATCAGTGAATTTCTCACAATTCTCCTCTGAGAATTAAGGAGAGAAATGCAGATCAGTGTCCTCTCTTACCATCTTTGGAAAGCCTACCTGTGCTGAGCGACCAGCTGGGTTTTCCACTAAAACCATGACTGCCTTCACGCTAAGCATTGTTTCTTATTCCACATCAGTTCTCTAGCACTTTACTCACTGTTTGACAAGTGGTTGGTAACAAAATGAGTTTTTATATCTTCCTATCATGGACATTTCCATTTAAGTAGACACTGATTAATAAATACCTGTCAGAATCAGTGTAGCAACCTATCACAAGATTCTCTAAGAGACTGAGGATTATATAAGCACTTCAGAAGTATTTGAACATAAGATAAGCCAGAAGAATTTAGATACTGATTAAGCTCAGAACAGAAAAACAATGAATGAAGTTTAATGTTCTAAAAAGGTTTTTAAAAAGTAACTTAAAATTACCTCTATATTTAGGCTGTTTTATTTTTGCAGGCTTTGATCCATAGACCTTTCCTTGAGATTCTGTAGAAAATTAACTTACTAGTTTACCTTAAGAGTGAGAATGTTTTGCTGGTGTCAAAATTGAATGTGTGATCAATGAGCAAGAACTCAAAGGTCTCTGTTCTAGGCAGGATCGAGAACAACTTTTTTTCTAATTCCACACAGACACGTCTTCGGCCTCTGAGGATGAGGGCTCTCTGAGACGCCAAGCTGCGCTCTCTGCTGCCTTGCAACAGAGCTTACAGAATGCTGAGTCCTGGATCAACCGTTCAATTCAGGGATCGTCCACTTCTTCATCCGCATCTTCTACGCTGTCTCATGGAGAGGTCAAAGGAACCAGTGGGTCTCTAGCTGATGTATTTGCCAATACTCGAATAGGTAGGAGTTGGGTCTACCCAAGAAACCCAAATTATGTTCCATTTGGCTCCCAGTATCCAGGAAAGAGTTTATGATTTGTATTAGGTTTTCATAGTGGCCTAAAAAAATAGAATCAGAAAGACCATGACAGTTAATGAGGCAAAGAAGGAAACACCAGCAATACATTTGGAATGATAGCTATTTTCTGCATTATTGGCACATAGTATTGCCCACCTGAAGCCATAGCTATTTCCATAAGCAATACTCAAGCTGCAAGATACAACACCAGTCTTAGAGCAATGGTTTATCTCTGTTGAAGAATATTCCATCTGTTAAAAGGTGTTAAAATATAGAACATCCTAGATTTTCCCAGGGTTGTTTTCTACGTTATCTCAAACAAAAGACATTAAACCTGAGCAAATTCTGCACTAAGGCAATATCAGTGAGGCCTTTTTGTCTTTAGCACAAAGACTGGATTTATTGTCCTTGCTGCTGTGTTATTGCTACAACTAGAGTGTGCAGCCTGATGATGTTGGTACTTTGGGAGCTGCTACCTGCTGCTGATGCTTTTACTCGGCTCTGCTTTATGTTTTTTTGTGTATGTGTGTCTGTGTGTGTGTGTTCTAAGAGAGTGTGACATATATAGATAAAGATATAGCTCGGATCTCTGCTTTTGCTTAATTGGTTGGTACACATTGCACTAAGTGATGTATATAAACATCATGAGTCTGTGATACTTTTCTCTTTTTTTCTTGATGATCAGTTGCATTCCGGTGTCTTAATTTTCATATCAATGACCTTTCTATATCACTTCCTGTATATCTTTGTTAATTGATTTATGAAAAGAAAAACTTGGAAAATTTTCAGTTCAAGCCTACAGTTTTTAAAGAAAATAGCTACATTGAGGGTATGATTGCCCACATTTAAAAGCCAAGTGCCAGCAGCAGTGACTTGTCCTGCACTCTTAACTCTGCCCTGTAACTCACTGAACCTCCTAAAGCAGCTGCAGGTGAGCATGCTCACCAACTCTTCTATTTAGAAGGGTAAGCAACAGCCATTGTTGAGTCAGGTTTTATTTTCACATTTGTCTAAAAGAGAGCAATTTCACTTCTTAAAAATATTGTCCGGATACCTAGTTAACTTTATCTGAATTTTTGTTTATAAGGTGATTTCATCTGACCTCGTATTTTTCTGTTGCTTTTCCTATGTGAAAAGTTATTTGTTCAGGTACTCACAAAAACCATCTTATCCAACATTATTGCCTTTTGAATATTTGTTTAAAAGAAGTAATTCATGCTTCTAGTGGAAAAATTTGAAAATACAGATAAAATAAAAATAAAATAATCTATAAACCCACTTCCCATGGATAACACTTGTGAATATTATTCTAGACTTTATTTGCAAATAAATATGTAGAGTTTTGGTTTTATTTTTACAAAAATGCACTTGTACTAAACATAATGTTCATAACCTGCTTTTCTTAGTAGCATATCACAAACGTCTGTTATATCATTAGTATAGGATTATACTATTTAATGGTTTCAAAATATGCCACTGTATGGCTATGCCGTGGTTTATTTAGCCATTTCCCTATTTTGGACATTGAAGTAATATCCAGTTTTTTGCTATTCTAAAAACTGCTGGAGTGAACATCTTTGAACACACAATTTTGTGCACTTTTATGATTATTTCCTTAGGACATATTCCTTATAAGTGGAATTGTTGGATCAAATAAAAATGTCTGTTTTTAATGCTTTGTTACTACATTATCCTACAGAAGAGATATACTGTAATATACTTGTGCTAGTAGTATATTTAAAACTTTAAAAACTATTAAACTAGTAATTATAGACTCTTGGGGCATAGAGACCTTACTTTCAAATTGATTTTAGAAATTGTTTATATTATGCTTTTTTCTTTTTTCATAGGAAACGTTTTAAGTGGCTTTTTATTCTTGTGAATTGTATATTTTACTTTTTCTAATTTTTTTTTTTTACCTCTCTTTATGTTTTCTTCTAAATTTTTTGTAACACATCCCTATTGAGTGGCTCTCTTTCAACTTATGTTGCTCAGTTTCTTGATATTAAGAATCCCCCAATTTATATCATTCAGTTTCTTTATATTAAGAATCACTACATGAGGCAGAGTACAAGAACACTAATCATGTTTAGAGCAAGGGAAGCACCTTGCCTGTCAAGTAGATCCAAGTTACCTATGGGTTATTTTATAAATATTAGAAGTAGACTTATCTGGTCTTCTTCATCTGGAAACTTGAATGATCTGACCCACTCCCAAGAAACTATTTCTATCTTCAGTGGAAGAAGAAATATTACATTTCTGGAATATTAGTAGCCATGTGATCATACTCACGTTGGTTTCGTTTTGAAGTTATTTGGAATTTTTATTTCATTATGATTGTTTTTATATGACATTGTATTTCTACCATTCTTTCTGTGTAGAAAAGAATGTTTTTGAGAAACATTTGATATGGGATTTGATCTTACTAAGGCTACTTGAGTTCTTGAGAATAATAATTGTGGAAAGCTGATAAGCCCTGGCTTAACTGCTTCCTCTCTTATTATATCTTGCTAGTAGAATTTGATTTAAAAGGTTGTTTTACAAGCGCTTATACCCAATTTACATAGTTTTCTCCTTTGTTAAAAAACAACAAAAGATTTAAAGATTCTTATTTTACTGTTACTGTAAAATAATTCTAAATTTTGCTTTCTCTCCTCTTAGAGAATTTCTCAGCTCCCCCTGATGTCACTACAACTACCTCTTCTTCATCATCATCTTCCTCAATACGCCCAGCAAATATTGATTTGCCCCCCTCGGGGATAGTTAAAGGCATGCACAAAGGATCCAACAGGTCCAGCCTTATGGATACAGCTGATGGTAGGGAATTCTTTTTGGTAGCTAAATAAGGAATTTTAGTTAAACTGGAAAAATTCAAATTATAAACAGTAGCGCCTGACTACTCAGTAGTAGCAGAACTATGCTGCAGTAAACCCACTAACACAAGTCATCTTAAATGTCTTCTTTTCAACAGTCTGTGCTGTGGCAGCACTGACACTTGTTCAGGCTTAGTTTGTACTTTCAAAAGATACTTTGAACAAAAAATTTAGTATGGAAAAAGAAAAGAATGCTATAAGAGAAAAGGAAGATTAGTTGAAATCTTTAAGCAATATATTAATAATAGCACCATATTTGTTCTCCGTTGTCATAAACTTGTGACATACATATTTGTACCTATTTGTCCTAGTTGAAATAGAATGAGACTGTGAGCAAAGGCCAAACATCATTAGAAATTAAAAACTGCAAAGACAATTGAGGAACTAAAATATCCCTAAAATTAGTCAGTTTTAACTAACCATTTTTTCCCTTATAGGTGTTCCTGTCAGTAGCAGAGTATCCACAAAAATCCAGCAGCTTCTCAACACTCTGAAACGACCCAAAAGGCCTCCCTTAAAAGAATTTTTTGTGGACGACTCTGAAGAAATTGTGGAAGGTAATAATAATAATTCTAAAAACAAACATTTAAGCAATTACTGCATGTCAGGTACTATAGGATTTAAAGGTGAACAAGGCATTGTTTTTGATTAAAAGAGTTCATAGTTCTCTGTTCTTTTTCTCTAAAGATAATTTGTATTTTAAATCTCAGATGAAAAATGAGGGAGAGAGGGGATAGAAAGGCAAAGAGATGACTGTAGAGCATAGAACTATCCTTGGAAATATGCTCTTTGAAACTAGGAACTTTCTCAAATACATACTTTTTAAAATTATTTATATTTGGCATTATATATGTCTGTTTTCTGTAAGATAATATGGTAGATGATGAAAAAGTTCATAAAAATACTGTCACTTCTTTTTTCCTTCATATTGTTTACAGTTTAGACCGGTGCTGAAATATATACATGTGAAAACCGAGTTTAGCCACTAAGTGTATATCAACTAATATAGGCAGTTGGAGAAGGGAAGAAATCACTTCCACCTATGTGCTTAAGGAAGGTTTCATCAAGAAAGTAGTAATTTAAAAAATATTTATGGTGAAATCATATGATGTCTAGAATTTAATAGGAAGGATTAGCAAGGGAACGTCTGGGCGTATAGATGAAAAGAAGCTAGGTGACAAATAGATCTACCTAACAAAAGCTTTTATCAAAAGACCTAAGCCTTGGTAGCTTTGTAGTCCCTTTTTATGTCTTGAGACTGGTAGTAGGCTTTGATCACATCTGACCTGTTAATGCAGCTAGGCACATGAGTAGACTAGATTCTGTGTTAGCCCTCTTTATACAGCAGGAAGCAACAAGCAACCTGACATATAAGGTTAAGTTGAATTTCTGTTTCTTGAGGAGTCACTAAACCCATTGAACTATGGACATCTTTCTCGATGCACTAATGTTCAAGGTGCTCCTGCCAGTAAGAGCCTTGCAGGTCTTTTCAGCATCATGTATTGACCAGGCAAATGAAGGTCAGGGTTCAACTGGAATCATACTGGAACAATTTTCATTGGCAGAATAGAGCTAACAGCTTTTCACTAATTATAAATAGGCAAGAGTTGTTTATTTAAATACTGATTACCATATGTCTTTGGAAGTCTGAAAGAGTGTGCCCCAGGGTCTGCATTGAGGCCTAGTGGATGGCAATAGTGATAGACCTTTATGACCAAAAGACTATGCCTACCATTTATACAGTCTGTCTGTAAAAATAAAATTATTTATTTAGAATCACCCATGTTCACTTTTTTACTTGATCTGGTGGTTTAGGGTCTGGGAATATACAAAGTAGAAGGGCAGCTGAAATATTTACCTAAAGCAGTGATTTGGGAAGCGAAACTATTTTCGGTAGTTTTATGTGAGTAGAAAAATGAATCAAGATGTTTTAAGTCAGTTTCCCAAGTATGTCATTAAACTGAGCTCTAAAATACAATTTATTTCCTATTTCATTTGCCCATCTAATACTTGTTGTTCATTGTCTATTCTCCCTTCTGTGCCTCTTCTCTTACCTCCCATTCACTTGGCTAATTCTTACCCTTTCTTTAAGACTCAACTCAAGCGTTGCCTCCTCCTGGTGCGGTCCCTCAGCGCCTAAGCTGGGCAAAATGTGGTCCTCTTTTGCGCTCTCTATACTTATCTCAGTCATGCATTGCTCATGTTTACTTAGCTATGTGTGTGAATGTGTGTCCCCATTGTATCTAAATATTCTTAGAGAGCATGGATTCTGTGTTCCTTGCACCTAGCTTTATTAGAAACAATGTTTGTTCAAAGAATGATACATGCAATATTTATTTTCTCAGTGTTGATCACATCCTATGCACAGAATTGGCACCCAATAAATACTTGACTTTTTTGTTCTATGTGTAATTTATCTTTCAAAAGAGTGTGGGTTTTTTTTTTTTGCTTTTTATTATTTGAATACTTGTTTATTGTAGAAAAATAAGAGGACTTTAGTTTCATCTATATGAAAGTATATGAAATATTCACCTCCAGTTTCTAGAATAACCATGTTAATAATCTAGAGCTTTTTTTTTTCCTCTCCCAAATTCAGTTAAATTTAATTAAATTTGATTGAGCGACCATTATGTATTAGGCACTATAGGCACTGAGAGGAATAAGAACCATGCCTGCTTTCAAAAAGCTGTTAGTCTTAGGGAGAAAAAACATGTACAGTAATAGAAGCCCTCGAGGATCCTTGATGCTTTAATAATGATGGACTACCACATTGTGTGGGAGCACTGGGGAAGGAATGGCCAGGGACAGCTTTCCAGGGAATGTGCTGTTGGAGCTGCATCCTGAGAAGGATGTGTTTCCTCGGAGACAAAGGGATTGGCCATATGAGATGTGTACAGGGATGCAGAGACATGGAAGGAACATTCATGCCCATTATTGGTTTGAGTCTAATACTGACCCTGTGGTATAACTGTTACTGTCCCCATTTTACAGATGAGGGAAAACAAAGCTCAGATGACTCAGTTCGCCTGAGGTCACACTAGTAAAAAGTGAATATAAACTTGGATTTCCTGACTCGCAGTTCAGTGCCTTTTCATTATCAGGGTCGGAGTTTGTTGCATAGAATATATTAAATATAATTTTACAATTATGTGGGAAAATGAATTAAGGCCCCGTTTGTGGATTGCCATTTCTAATGATGTCTTTTTTAGAGTGAGTTCAAACCAGATAAAGGGAAAAGAATATATATTTGAGATTAGAGACCTACGTTTTGTTAGTTGATATTTGTACTTATTTCAGATCTTATTTTCATAACCCATTGGATTTTGTTGGTACAGTACCTCAGCCAGACCCCAACCAGCCCAAGCCTGAGGGACGGCAGGTGACCCCTGTGAAGGGGGAGCCCTTAGGAGTCATCTGTAACTGGCCTCCTGCTCTTGAGTCTGCCCTACAGCGCTGGGGTACCACTCAGGCAAAGTGCCCCTGTCTGACTGCACTGGATGTGACAGGGAAACCAGTTTACACTCTCACATATGGTGAGTTTACTTTTCTAATAGTTCTTCATATTTTCATGGGTGGTGTTTTTATTTTGATATTTAGCAGTTGCTGATTATTGTGTTTCTGCAGAACTTTTAAGTTATTTTCATAGGATCCTAAGTTCTAAGTATACCTATTACCAAATATTTTCTTTTGTTAATGTGACATTTGCAAGCCAGCTAATATTTAAAAGAGCAAAAAGAAGAGACTTTATAGATCCACTGATTTTTATCACTAGAGGATTTTTAGGAAGACATATGAGCAGGATTAATAGTGTATGGTAAAAACCTGCTTCTTGCTTACATTAGGCACAATTAGTTCTTTTCCATTTAGTTTTGGATTTTCCATTTAATTTTGCATTCCAGCTAAGCTTTTTGTTTTTCTTTTGTAAATGACCTTTTAAAGTAACTGATTTTTCTTTTATAAATTCTTTTAAAAATAACTTTAATTTTTCTTTTTTTAAAAAATGTAAGAAGAATGGATTTAACCTGAACTATGAGATTTTGTACTAGTTTATTCAGACATTTTCCTCTTTTCCCTTTACAAGTGGAGCACATTGTCCATAGACCTAAATACTGAATAATTTTAGAGGAAAAGTAGTTTTTAGTTAAAGAATTATGCAGATTGAAATGAATTTAAACCTTAGATGCTCCTCTGAATGAGTTGTATGAAAAACTAACATATATTCAAAATAACAAGATTTCTATGTTTTTCATAGTCTAAAATAAGAATTTCTAAAGGTGGTTAAGGGGAGAGAGCAGGAGGAGGGAAAGAATAGTCTTACCCCACCTCCCCAGAAAATAGTTTTTAGCATTCATTTCAGAAGCTGTATATTAATTTCATCCATGTAACCCTTAAAGCAGTCAGCTGGCCAAATCTTTGCAAGTTTATTGAACATCTTTGAGTATATCCATGTTTCACATAGTTAATTTCCATTTTATTGTCTCTTCACTGAAATACTGTGGTACAGAATACCTAATTATTTGAGTCACACTTTTGCTTTGCAGTTACTTCAAGTATCTAATACCACGTATGTAAGTGGTTCTGCAAAAAAAAGATTAGAATAATGTAGTCTTCTGATTTTCAGTTCTGTGATAAGAAAGTTGTTTCCTTCCTTGAAATATGACCAGCTCACATCAACCTATTTCTAAAGATATTCAGATTACTTCAGAAAAGAATTTGAAAAATTATCTAAACCAGAATGAGCTTCTGGTAATGTTTTATTTTTGTTTGGAGACAGGACTGGCTCCTAGAGTGAATATAAAGCCTTTTTGTTCGGGTGGGGATCTCTCTGGTGGGGGCGATGCTTGTCTCATGTGTCATTGGAAGCTGCCATTGTCTTATTAAATGTGCTTAGGAGCTGAATGTGCTTTTGCCGAGGTAGGCCTGTATTTTTCTATATTGCTGTTTTCTTTTCTTTTTCCAGGAAAGCTGTGGAGCAGAAGTTTAAAGTTGGCCTACACCCTGCTTAATAAACTGGGGACCAAAAATGAACCTGTATTAAAACCTGGAGATAGGGTAATTGTTTGTGTGTGTGTGTGTGTGTGTGTGTGTGTGTGTGTGTATTTAGTTTTTGGTTTTAGGAAGGTGATGTTTTATTGCTTTCTGACATGCACATTCTGGACTTTTAATATACCACAGCACAATTTATAAAAATTATTCTTAGAAAATGAAAATGGTTTGATTTCAACTCAGGTTGGCCCAATGCCAGGTGATAATTCTTACATTCATAGATTGAAGGAAATTCACATGTCACCTTCTGTAGCTGCTAATCAGTAAACTCTTGAGGTGCTACTGAAAGAAAGAGAAGCCTAAGTTTTTCTGGAAATAAATATTTTAATATTCAGACAACAAAAATAGCAATAACATTTACTCTGATTTTTTTCTTTTAAAAAATGTCCCATAAAATTTTTTAAGCAATTTTCTGAGATTTTATGTAGAAAGGGAGGGAGACTCATGCTACTTCTAAGAAAAAACAAATCGACATCATTTAATTTCTTTATATAGAAGTGACATTTAAAATATATATATTTTTTTAATTTTTGAAGATTTTTCCTATCTAAATATGATTACTTCTTACTGTCAAACATTATTTTTCACTTGGAATATGTAGAATGAAACACCAGCTACACAACAGACTTCTTTTTATGAGGCTCATGATTACATAATCCCCTAAACTAGCCTTGTAAAAATATTTTTGCATCGTGGCAGAGGACATACAAAGAATGGCTTCTACTTATAAATGTGACACATGAGTGTTTTCTAGTTCTCATGGAATCCTAAGAAGATACTTCTGTGTCTTTCTTGCAACATGGACACTTGTGTGCAGAAAGAAAATGGATTGTTTAAATGTCTTGTGGAGTTTGTATTTTTTAGAACTCTAGAAATTCAGAACTGAACTTATCTTGGGAGTAAGTTTAGAGAATTTGGAAATAAATGAAGAGAAAACAAGAGTCTGGTGACATAATTAAATTTCAAATGTTAATATATAAATATCAAAGCCAAGTAATAAACTCCACAGTGATAGTGACATGTATTTTTGCATTCCTTGAATAAATTAGGAAGAGCCCATTATCCTTATGATATATTACAGGTGAGATCATATGTTTGAACATATTATAGAGGTTTTACTGTTTATCTTTTGTAAATGAATTAACTTCGTGCCCATAATGGTTTCTGCCAGAATTGCTTATACCTATTACCACATGCCTTCATGCTAGAACACTTGCATTGTTGGTTTGATGAGTAAGGATTAATACAATGAATTTGTTAAAGAGTAAGAAATCTTAGGTTGGCCCTAAGGTAGTAATTGAGTCATTCAGTGCTTGTAGGCTCTCTATGAGAGATGAAAAGCTTATTCTTTAATATGCTGGTCTGTCTGGAGAGATCCATTACATTTATTTTATTGCTTTAGTCTTACACTAAAATAAATTGCCTTAGATTTCACAAGTAATTAATTTATTACTTCAAGTGAGTTGTTTACTGCTAAATCACCAATAGAATTAAGTGAAAAATTCCTATTATGATGATCAATTGCATTATAGTTCCCAAAATGTGTCTAGAATAATCATGGGAATGAGAGAGGTCTTTTTAGGTTTGTACATCCTTCTAATTAACTTAATTTTCTTTAAGCAATTTAATAATTTGATTTATTTTGTTTACAATAGATGTTTTATATGTAAATGTATATCTTAGAGAATGCATTGAAAGCATTAGTCTTGTTTTTATTCCTCTGTTATTGAATGTTATTATGCATTTTAGGTAGCCCTGGTTTACCCCAACAATGATCCAGTCATGTTTATGGTGGCTTTTTATGGATGTCTCCTGGCAGAAGTGATTCCAGTGCCTATAGAGGTACCTCTTACCAGAAAGGTAACAATGCTAAATTTAAAAGGAATATAGCCTGATGTGACATGGCAGGCACTGGGCTCTTGGATTGGTTGACTTGGTCACAACATTGGAAACACTCTGTTTTCTTAAGCACTCGGCTTCACTTTCTAAAACCATGAAAGTTGTAGAAAATTATTTATTAATATTTAAAGCTTTCATGAAAATAGCATATTTTCAGCTAAGAATATTTCACACTTGATCTCAGCCAAAAGGCCAAGAAGAGATAAGATAGAATATTTATAGTATATCTAACTTAAGAATCATGGAGGCATACTTAACTTTTCAGCAATTACTAGTTATAAAGAGTACCATCCCTGCTTCAGAGACTATAGATAATTCACATTTACAATAGGTGAGATCTTTTCTAAAGGGATTTACTTTAACTGTATTGTACAACCTAGGATTTTCATTAAGCTCATGGGTGATTCAGCGATGTTACTACTTTAGGATATAGGGTTTTACTTTGCCAACACATCAGTCTTACTAAAATGAAGTATATGTAGCAAATTTCCAAATTTAACCAAATAATTTCTCCATGAGCTGTTTGACCCTAATTTTCTCATGCAGTTTATTATTGAGAGTTGATGATAAAGACAAAATATGCTGGAGAATGTAGATTTACAAGAAAAAATTATTTTATGAAAGGAATGAAAAACAAATTGGTAACATCCCTGAAACTCTAGTTGATGGGATATAGTATCTTCAGATTGTTCAGGAAATTGTAGAGTTGTTCTTGTATTATTAAGTTGACAGTGTTTGTGTGACTTCGTAATGATACTTTTAAGGTGACATTTTAATGGAAATACCTTAGATTATATCTTTTGTTTTTTCTCTGTTGTTATTATGAAGCTCAAATCTATCTCTTTTTAAAATAGAATAAATAATGAGTATATGGATTTGGATATAACTGTCCATTCACTTTCATTGTAAATTTGGACCTTTGATGTTCAGTTACGTTATTTATTTTGTTCTGACCTGAATTGCCTTACTTTTGGGTTTGGGGATATAGCTAGGTCAAGACAACTTAACCATGTTTGCATTTATTTCGTTTGCCTGAAATTAAAAGAAGAGCATTGCTGATCTTTGAATAAAATGGTCACATTTGGCTGGCAGAACTCATCATTAGCAATGTCAGATTAATAAAATATTTTATTTGCATTCAGTAAATCATTGTATGGTAGAAATTATTTGGAAGGACATATTGTCACTGGATTTTGACAATTGCCAGAAAACAGTGGGGTTCCATGAATGTTGTCACAGGAGTGCCAGAGCATTACCAAGTGTTAGATTGTAGGCATGGGTGTGCTCACATTCACTACTTTTCCATGTTCATTATCTTTTCTCCACAGGATGCTGGAGGGCAGCAGATTGGCTTCTTGCTAGGAAGCTGTGGTATTGCCTTAGCTCTTACCAGTGAAGTTTGTCTTAAGGGGCTGCCAAAAACTCAGAATGGAGAAATTGTACAGTTTAAAGGTTAGTAATATTTATAACTAAGTTATCAGTTAAAAATTAAAGCTGAGTGCTTAAATTAGCGTTTTAACTTAATAATAGCTAAGTACTTAACATATATTTTCTTAATTAATTCTCACAATCTTATGAAGTAGGTACCATTATTATCCCCATTCTACAGGTTAGGAAACTGAGACACAGAGAGGTTAAGTAACTTGCCCAAAGTCATAGCTAATAAATGGCAGAGCAGCTATTTGAACCTAGATCTGTCTGATTCTACAGCCCACACCCTTAACCTTTATGCTGATGGTTGGAAAAAGCTACTATGTTTATTAAAGCTAAATGCTACATATAGAGAGAGAGGATAGACCACTAACCTCAGTGGACTTCCACTGCCAAATGGACCTCCCAATTGTTGAGGTAATGTCAAGTCCTGGAATTAGCATGTGGAGCAATTGTACTTTTAAAAGAAGGTACAATTATCTGGTAATTTATCACTAAAAACTAATAAAAATAAAGTATTTTACTGATGATAACATAACCGTGATTTGGTCTCTTGAAATTTAAAATGACCAATTCAATGTGAATTCCCTTCTTTATGGCTCAGGCATTTCAGTTTTTATTTTGGGTTGGATTTAGGTTGGCCCCGGCTCAAATGGGTTGTAACAGATTCCAAGTACCTTTCAAAACCACCTAAAGACTGGCAGCCCCACATCTCACCTGCTGGTGCAGAACCAGCATACATTGAGGTAAGTGCTAAGACCAGAACATACATTCCGGCTTTTCTTTAGGCTTCAGATGCTATCTTACAAAATTTAAAATGAACTTTTTGCAGTTTTAATGTTAAAAGATCCTCCTAGTTTGTTAGGTTTCCATCTTTTGGCTCATAATATGCCTTGTTGTGGCCTTCTTAATTATTTTTAACATAAATATACATTCCAGAAAAAGAAAGACAACAAAAAAATTGATCTTTGCCATGTAGGAAAGTCACAAAAGACTTAGAGAAGTACAGAGGTTTAAGAAATGATTTATTGGCAGAGAAACTGGCAGAAATATTTTTCTGCTGCTTGGGGTGGAGGATGGGAAGCAAGAGACTGGAGAAATGAGGAGGAGAAATAGCTGTACTTAATAAGAACAAATTAAACAGAAAAAAAATAAAGAGCAAGAAAAAACAAATGGCCAGAGGGTTCGATATTAAAGGTTAGTTTAGGAATTTGATTGATCAATAACATGATCCAGTTGAGGGATAAAGCATAGAGGCACCAGGCTAAGTGTTTTAAATGTATTGTTTCAATCAGTCCTGTAGACTGTGAGGTGAGAACTGGTATTAAACCTTTTATAAGAGAGGAGACTAAAACTTAAACTTTAGCAACCAACCAAAGGCCATATGACTCAAAAATGGCAGAACTGGAATTCAGACTCACATCTGTTTCACTCTAAAAGCTATGCACTTGACCTGCTTGAGATATATTAGTAAATGCTTACCAACTGTTTGCTAAATTAATGAATAAACAAATGAATGATTTTTAAAAGAAGATTTGGAGAAAAAAATCTACCCAACTGTGAGCCTTGTGGGGGTAACTTTGGTTATAATAAGGAAGAGAGTAGGCAGTAGCTTTGAGGGGTGATGTGGTAATGTTGGCTGCTTTTAAAGACAGAAGAGATCCGAGTATGTTTAAATGACAGAAAGGTAAGCAGGCAATTAGAATACCAAATTTATCCGTCAACTCTCAGTCCCTGTCATCTCTCAGTGATGACATGGTTCATCACTCCGTTCTCCTTAAAGCTGTTCACTGGTTTCCCTGATTACTCTCAGTTCTTCTGCCTCACTGACCACTGCTTTTGATCTTCTTTATTGGTTCTTCCTAAAAGGCGAAGGACCTTCCATTATGTGGTCCCTGCTTAGCAGTCTGGCCCCATGTAGAACTACCATCCTCTTCATGTGTAAGCTTCTGTTATTCTGAATTAACTTACAGTTTTCCTTTGGGACCCTCTTATTATAACCCACAGGACATTGATATGAGTTTAAAGCATCCTGTGGGTAATAGGAAGCTATTAAAGGGTCGTCAGCAGCAGAGTGATAGTAAATGTGTTGTTAAAATATTTATCTTGTTTGGTTGGGTTTGAGAAGGGAAACGGAGAAACCAGCTTTTATAGTTATTCAGGTGAGCTCAAGCTTGTGGTGATGGGGATAGAAAAATGTGGATGGAGTGGAGAGACAGTGAGGAAATAGAAGAGAAAGGGCTTGGAGAGGGAAGAGGCAAGAAAGACTCAGTTTCCTGCCTTGGGCACAACTGGGTAATAGTGGCATCCTTCACTAAGATAGAAAATATAACAAGAAATTTTCATGGGTGTGGGCTGAGGGTGAAGAATACAGTGTTGGATCTGCTGGATCTCACAGGACTATGGGTTATTTGAGGGGAACAATTGACTCTATGTCTGGAGAGAGGTATGGATTGGAAATAGGGAATTGGGAGTCATCAGGAATATGGTACCCTGTTTGAATAAAGTGAAAAGAGAAGAACAGAACTTTCAAGGAATGCCAACCTTTAAGGGATGGGCAGAGAAATTGAACACTATGGGGGGAGAGAGAGAATATGTATAGGAGAGAGGAGTATCACAAAAGCCAAGGAAGGAAAAAGTGTCAAGAAAGGAAGCATCAGATGTTACAGAAAGGTCTGATAAAGTATGCAATATATGCTTTTGATTTAACAATCAAAAAGTTGCTGATCTTGGTAAAAAGCAACTTGAATGGAACATTGAGTTAAAGGCAAAATCATAGTCGATTGATTTGTAGGAATGAATAGGCCATTTCTAGGTCTCCCCTTCTCAAACTGGGAGCTTCTGACAGACCACATCTTACGCACTTTTAACTCTGCAGTGCTAGCCATGTATTTGATACTGTGTTTCTGTTAATGCAGCTCAAGTTTTGTTTTAGCTTCTTTAACAGCCACTTCACATTGATGAATAATTAATCTTTTAAGAATTTAAAATACTTTTGTTGAACTTTGTCATTCCCTAATCCTATCTTTGTGTGATTAGAGTTTGAGGCCCAAGTACACAGTCTCCAATATTCATATGAAACATGTTAAATTAAGCCTATTACCATGGCTTATCTGGGTTTTGTCTTTAGGATTCTAGTTTTATCATTTGAAATAACCTATTTTATTGTGTTTCTTATGTTTTTGTTTTTTTGTGTGTTTTTTTTTTCCTAGTATAAAACAAGCAAAGAAGGGAGTGTAATGGGAGTTACAGTGTCTCGCCTTGCAATGTTGTCTCACTGCCAAGCTCTGTCCCAGGCCTGCAATTATTCTGAAGGTCAGACTTCATCCCATGACTGCCCTCATTGTGAGCCTCAGATATGTGTGACTGCAAGCAGAGTGCTCAGTGATTGGATTGCAGTTAATGACCAAACTCAGAGTGAAATGTTCTAAGACACATTCTTGGCTTGCTTCTTTTTCACAAATACGCTATATTTTAAAGGAACTAAAATTCTGGGCAAACCAAATATGTGAAGTATGATTTCTAGAGTGCAGAAATAGAAAGCTAATTAAAACCATGTGTTCATTATTAGCTGTGGAATGTCAGGTATCTCCATCTTCCCATGTATAGAGAGCTGCCACCAGCTGTACGTTTGGCATTAGAGTCAAAGAAATTCAGTTACCAAAAAGCACAAATTAAAACACAAAAATGTATTCTGTAGAATGCTTAGAAGTATATTTGTGTATGTAGAATATTACATACATGTGTGTATGTGTGTGTGTATACCAACATTTTTTATTTTCTCTGGGAAGTATAATTTTTTTACATGTGTTTGTGAAACTTCTGAAGTTTCTAAAATAAACGTGTTTCTCATATAATTAGGAAAAAAGTATTACCTCTCAGAAGACAGTGCCTAAGTCATAAAGAGTTTCAAACTCATTGTCTCTTCTGTAGCCATGTCACTCTCTGATCAGTTCCCCAGCCAGTTTGAGGGGATCGTCAAGTAATCAAAAGACTCAGAGCTTTCAGCAGTCTCTTTAAAAGTACTAAATCAGCTGTTTATTAGAGGCAAGTGACATGATTTTGCTATTTAATGCAAAAAATGATTTCCTTGGTTGACTTTTTAAAAAATTTTTTCTATTTTAGGGGAAACAGTAGTAAACGTTTTAGACTTTAAGAAGGATGCTGGGCTGTGGCATGGCATGTTTGCGGTAAGCTACTCAGAATTAAGGCCTTTACAGTTAATTGTGCTTGTAATTCAGGTCAGTATGCATGCTGTATAACCAGAGTATCTCTCAGTGCTTGTTGGAAATTTAAGCCCCCAAAAGATCAATCATATTTTCCAGAGGAATTTGATTTTATAATATAAATGGTAATTTTTTTAAAAGGAGAATGTGATTCTGTTTTTTCTTCATTGTGTGGTTGGGCAAACTCCTTACATAATAGTATATGGGAGAATTTAGGATCAATTTTTAAAACATCTGCTATGATGGCTCAAAGCTTAAAAGATTCTACAAATGCTTATATATTTATTTATGATTTTAAAAAGTGTGTTTGAGATTTGCCTCTTCTTTCTGAAAAAAGGATTACATAAATATATTTAGAACTTGACAACTGTGGATAATAACATCTAACCTTTTCATTGGATAAAATGTATTGAATGAGTTCATACTGCAATTAAAGAATAGAGTTATAAGGTAAATCGGGCTACCTTCCATAATTGAGGAACAGGTAACATGCTGTGAGAGTTAGAGGTGAGTTCTTCTCAGCTTTGGCACCAGGCTATTTTTATGGAAGAGGTGCCAATTGAGTTGGACTTTGAAAAATGGGTAAGATTTAGCCATATAGAGATACTTTTGTGGTAGAGGTAGAGAGAGGGGACATTTCAAGTGGGGAAAACTACCGTATGTAGCATGGTGATTGGGAGGGGACAGAGAAGAGAAACAGGATCCTAGAGCTGAAAAGGATCTTTTGAGAGTATCTCATCCGGCTTCCTTACACATTGCAGGAGTCTGAGAAAAGGTATAAATTCATGGCGGAAGTGTAGGAGGATCCCTTTTCACCCAGAACCCATCAAATTACTAAGACTCTTATTCCTTGAGCATACATTCTGGCTCTTTTCTGAAGAAGTTAAAAAACCTTTATGAGGAGTTAGAGGGACATGCATGAAGTCTTAGTTATAAAAACCATTCTTTTCCTGAAATCCAAAAGGTAGTCACCATAATTAGAAACTTGGGGCAGAGAGGAAAAAGAGGTTACCAATAGTATCTTGGTTTCTTTGGGCTACTTTGGTGGTGAGCGAAATTACCAGCCTAAGTAAGTACCAATACTTAGTTACTCTGCCGGGCTGAGTTTCTTTGGGGACTGGAGATCTGGGTATATTCATTCGTTTGGATGGCAGGAGAGACACCAAATTGCATGACTCCCTCAGCTCACTCAATTTTATCTACTCAAATACCCAACAGGTCTGGGCAGGACCTCCTATAAGCAACAGGATATTTTGATTTCTTATTTTGTGATACCCAACCCTTTGTGGTATGTGGCAAATGCAAGCATGATGAAAGCACTTAGTGGGTTGGGGGTAGTTTGGCAGTATCTATTAAATTTATAGAATATATATCCTATGACCCAGCAGTACCACTTTTCTATATCTACCCTAGAGAAACTCTTATACATATACCCAGGGAAGTAGGTATAAATATGTTCCTTGAAACATTGTTTATAATAACAAAAAAACTGTCGATAATAGGGAAATGTCAAAATAAATCGTGGTATAGTACCACTATGTAGCATACTATGCAGTAGTTAAAAAAAAATTAGATAGATCTCATATTCATGTGCATAGATTTAGCTCTTAAACCATTTAAGTGAAAAAAAGTATGTTGCAGACATATGTATAGTATGATGCCTTTTATGTTAAAAATACTTTCTGTTTCTATGGAGACAAATATATATGTAAATACATAGAGAAAGGACTAGAAGGATACATGCCAGATTCACAACAGTGGTAATCTCTGAGGAGGAAAGGAGAGAACCAGGTTTAAGGGTAGGTAGCAAAGGAGACCAACCTTATAGTTAATATTTCATATTTTTTTCAAAGAGCATGTATTTAGGTATTTGTTACATGTGTGATTAAAATCGTTAACAAAAATATCAGTTCAATTTTAAAATGCAATGTATGTATTTAGTGCTGATTACTTTTTATCTTTCGTTGCTTTTCAGAATGTAATGAATAAGATGCATACAATTAGTGTACCCTACTCTGTTATGAAGACTTGCCCTCTCTCTTGGGTCCAAAGAGTACATGCCCACAAAGGTAGGTACTCACAGCACCTACGCTTTAATTATGTGACTATTTAAACTAAGATTTCATGGATTTTCAAATTTCCCTTGTAGGGACATAATTCTATGCCTTGGTGGCTTGTCAAATTTTGGAGTTCAATTGCTAAAATTTCATCTTGTCAATTTCCTCTTACATGACATTCTTTCTTAAGAGTTCAGACAAACTGGGGGAGCGTTTGAGATCTTGCTCCCCAGCATATGTCATCAGTTTGGCTCAAATAAATGTATAAAAATTTTATTAAAAAAAGTTGAGATAAATTTGCCTGAATTTAAGCCCTACATTAGATTTTTTGGGTGCTTTGTTGGCTAAGGTATGTGGTTCATGCATATAGGTCACAGTGAGCAAAACAATTATATGTCTAGTTGGTGCCTGCTGCCTCAGAGCACCTGGCATAATTTCTTTGAAACCTTTTTTATTTTCTTTATTTGAAAATCATGATCCCTAAAATAAGTAAAAATGTTTTTATTATAGTATATTAAGTATCTACCAAATTTAGCATGTATATGTGTGTTAAATTTATCCCTTTTGTTTGTAGCCAAGGTAGCTTTAGTAAAATGTCGAGACTTGCACTGGGCTATGATGGCACATCGGGACCAAAGAGATGTGAGCTTGAGTTCTCTCCGGATGTTAATTGTGACTGATGGAGCTAATCCCTGTGAGTATTTCTAGAGTGTGGTTCTGGGACCATTTATTCCCTTGGTAGGTTGAAGTTTTTGCCCTTTTTCTATAAGCATTTTTTTAACATTTGTTAAAAAGGAACCCCATACCCATTAGTAGTCACTCTCCATTTTCCCCCCACTGTCCTCTCATCCTAGGCAACTTCTAATCTACTTTCTGTCTCTATAGGTATACTTATTCTGGACATTTTATATAAATGTAATGATATTATATTGGTCTTTGTGACAGGCTTCTTTCACTTAACATAATGTTTTTAAGGTTCATCCATGTTGTAGCATATGTCCATACTTCACTTTTTATATTGCCATTTAATATTCCATTATATAAGTATACCACATTTATTTATCTGTTCATCATTTGATGGATCCATACACTTTTAAAACCACTCCTTCTTGTTCACTCATTTATTTCTTTTTATTATCATGTAACTAAAAAGAATGATAAGAAGGTGACTTGATGTAACCAAGTGTCTGGACTTTGTGCAAATTCCCCCTAGCAGCAAATCAGATTTGCAAAAGCTTTTAGAGATCTATGATATTACCAGCTTTTTCGTACAAGCACAAACATCCTGAGCCTCCTGATTTACCTGGAATCAGGTAAAACGTTAGCTACTATGTTCTTCATCATGGATTTTTGCCAGTAGTCAACGTTAATCATTCTGATATAAAACACAGAAATGAAATTGACCTTAATATGAATTAAATCAGAGAATATCACATAGAAGAGGGTGGAACTAAGCCAGAGTGTTAATACTGCACTGGCAAAATAGTTTTCAGGAACAGTTGCTCAGTTCTGAGCTGGCCACAGTGTCTCTCTGCTGTTGATTGGACAGTTTGATAGGAACAGCTTTATTCCAAGTTGTAACTTTAAATAGTGTCATTGACCTTTCATGGTCTGGATGAGAGTTAATTTGTCCTTGAAATGTATCAGTCATCTCACAGGCACAGTAAAATGTTTGGATTGAATTAATGATGTACAGTGAGAGTTGTCATGAGAAACAAGTATGTCAGCTTTTCACTCTTTACCAGTTTCCTGCAGTAATGAAAATCATCATTTCAGCTTTCAAGTTGATCTGTTCCAACTCCTTAGGGTCTGTGTCATCCTGTGATGCCTTCCTGAGTCTGTTCCAGAGCCATGGACTGAAACCTGAGGCCATCTGTCCATGTGCCACTTCTGCTGAAGCCATGACTGTCGCAATCCGCAGGTACTGTTCAGAACAGTGCTCTTCAATATGTTACAACTTTGATCAAATGTGCAATATTTACCAGGCAGTGACAAGGGGTGTTAACTAATTTTCTGCTTCATAAGTCTAAAAGTGAAAATGACTTTGTAAAATAGTTTGAAGCATCTCATTTATTCTTCCCACTCTTGCACTAAGTGTAACTGATAAACTGAAAATTTAATTTAATGATTCTCATCTTTTATTTGTGAATTAGTTCTTTTTCTGTGTTGTTTTGCTTTTCAGCATCCTTGGTTATCATCCTAGACTAAAAATAGGCTATTCTTAATTATAGTGTAAATATGGAAAGTACATTTATAGTACACTCAAGACCAATGTATTCTGAACAACCGATTAAAATTTTTTCCCATGGTTTGTACATGTGAATTTGATTAATTTGGCATGTCTTTGGTAGAGAAATTATTTTTTGTGTGCGTGCATGGTAGCCAGAGGAAATTTGCTTTCCTACATATTCATACTTTTCCGTTGATATTTAATTTGCCAAATTTGATGAGTTTATTTCGTTTTCAGGCCTGGAGTCCCAGGGGCCCCTTTGCCAGGAAGAGCCATTCTCTCAATGAATGGGTTGAGCTATGGGGTAATACGGGTCAATACTGAAGATAAAAATTCAGCACTGACAGTCCAGGATGTGGGACACGTAATGCCTGGTGGTGAGTTCTCAGGAAGGCCATTGGTTTTTCATAAAGATATGTTATGAGGAATCTAAAATTTAGTGCTTAGTTCGTTTCTTAAAGTTTCTCTAACCGTTAAGTGATTTTAACTATACTTACCTTCCAGCTGTATTGTATGATTTAATTGAAAATGCTAATTATAATTGTTCATAGGGAAAGCTAAGTACTGAGTGATATCAGTGTTGTCTGGTTTTCACTGTAAATGCTAAGCCATTGGACTAGCAGAAAAAGCACACTGCTTCTGTGAGTGTTTGAGTTTGATCTGCCTAGGGTTAAATAATCTAACCTGTTTCTTTGGACTTGGCAGTCATTTTTAATATGCCACTATCTTCAAAAGCTTCAGTCTACATCAGTTGTGTGTTTTATTTGCTGAATTAAAAAAATGTTAGGGCTAAAAGATGGAAAATTAAAATAACTATGTAGTTTCAGGTCTATTTTTAGCATTCTTATTTGATATTCTTACTTAATAAGCACTCAGTGAATTCAAAACTTACCCGGATTCACAAGGATGAAGCTGTTATTTTGCAAAGGTTTTCCAGGATCCCTGTCCCTTAACTTTATTTTCTGTACACTAGGGATGATGTGCATTGTGAGACCCGATGGACCTCCCCAACTCTGCAAAACAGATGAAATTGGAGAAATCTGTGTCAGCTCCAGGACAGGAGGCATGATGTACTTTGGGCTTGCTGGTGTGACCAAAAATACATTTGAGGTACATGATATTAAAATTTCACAGAAAAAATGTTTGGTGAGGGTATCACTAGGGCAGATGAACTGCCAAATGGGAACTAAAGTAGTGGTTTGAGAGTGTGTACTCCAAAGCTAGACTGCCCAAGTTCAAATCCTAACTCTGCCACTCACTAGCTGACCTTAAGTGAGTTGCTTAATCTCTCTGTGCCCCAATTTCTTTATCTTTAAAATGTGAGTAATCATAGTGCCTGTCTCTCAGGATTGTTGTGAGAACTAAATGAGTTGATGTTTGTAAAGTGCTTAGAACAGCACCTGCACACAGAAGTACTACTGCTTATCTGTTAAATAAATAAACAGTAAGAGTCCTCACAAAAATCGCTCTGGTGAATATGCCATGGTTTGGGCTTTATAAGCCCCAAAATTTAATTGTGAGAGTATATAGTGAGAATGGATCTCTCTCTCAAGTGTAGTCTCAAGTAAACTGAACTTATAAAGACCGATATCAGCTTACTAATGAAAAATGAAGAACCATCCTATCACAGGGGCAGAGATTGCTCCCATTATTCAAACTTTCACTCAGACAGGTATTTATTGAACACCCTCTATACATCTGGCACTGTTCTAGTTGCTTGGGGTACATCAGGAGAATAAACAAATAGCTCCTCAAATAGCTCATATTCTAGTGTAACTAGCATATTGATTTTCAGTAGGCAGTTCTTTATGTGAAGCCCAATTGTAATGGAAGTTTGCCTGGTGAGCCTAAAATTCAGACAGGCATAATTAATTTTCTATATTTCATAATTGGGATTTACCTGCCTCAGGTTACCTTTTAGGGAATGGAGAACTCCAGTTTATGGGCCATGTCCCCTTTACACTAGATAGGGCCTATATGACCATTGCCAATTTTCAGTTCTTCAGATTTCCTTCTTTTGTAATCTAGACTGGTGATTCTCAAAATGGCAGGGCACGCCCGTCTGCCATCCCATTTGAAAATCAGAGCATGTAATTATGTAGTAATAGATGTAACTGCCGGAAGGGTGTTATCTCTGTAAATGATATGGTATCTGAAAAAGGTTAAGAATTCCTGAGACAACCATCATTTGTGTTTACAGAGCCTAAAATGGTATAATATAAATTATTAAATTCCTGTCTGTTATTGCCATCATTGTCACTGTTACTGCTGCCTTCTTGCCCTACTGTCGAAAGTTATGACCAAATCACCTTGATAAGTGTAGACATTCATAAACTCTTCAAGCATATGTTTACTGCCAGGTTTACTTTTAGGTGACTGATTACCTCTGCTGAATGTACATATATTTTACTAATTTAAATCTCACCCTGTTTATCTTATTTTAAAATGCTTGGACTACATATATTTCCAAAACCTGAATTTTTCTTTAATGCATTTTCCTTACTGTAAACAAGATCCTCAAGCAGTGTTTGAAGATGCTGATAATAGTTTATTATGATGCTTTCTTATGAGGACAACTGCCTAACCACATATCTTATTTATTACCAAACTGCTAGGTCCATGGTCCATAGTGATAAAGAAATTTTGAAATCTGTGGTATAAATGTAATGATAGTGAAGTAGGATAAAATTCCAACCAAAAAAGGAGAAAACCATTGCATTGTTTTTGCAAATTAAAGTTTCTAATTCTTGCTAGGTTCTTATATTTAAACCCTTAAGAATTTTCCAACGTAGTTATCATTTCTCTAGGACAAAAGACATAGTAATGACTGGTCAGAAAATAAAAGTGTGTTTTAAAAATAAGCCACTGGTGAGAAAAACTTATGTAACTCATAGGAGATCAAAGAGCTAATTTTCCATTCCAAACTTAATAGTTGTTTGATTTGAGACAAATGAAACTTTTTTAAAAAATTTATTTAAATCAGTTTCAAGTATACAGTACATTGGTTAGACATCCATATAGTTCATAAAACGATCCCCCCAATTGCTCTGTCCCTACCCTGGCCCTCCACCTAGCCATCATATTAATGCTAACTACATTCCCTCTGCCGTGCTCCCCATCCCCGTGACCAAATATCAACTACTAATTTGTACTTCTTTAACCCTTCACCCCATTAGACAAATGAAACTTTCTGTGCTTTCTCATCTGTAAAATGGAAGTAATAATCTTGTTTCATAAAGTTGTCTTGAATAACTGTAAAGCAACTGGCCCTGTGGCTGGCACATAATAAGCATTTAATAAATGTTCTTATAATTCTCTGTATAAATATATATAAAAAATTTTTTTAAATTAAAGGGAAAACCAATCAACAGACTGTTTATCTTTTATAAACAGACTATTTATAAAAGAAATACAAATGGCCAGTAAACAAAAGAAAGAAAATTCATCCATAGTACTAGTAATAAAGAAATGCAATTAGTAACAGTGGGATATCTTTTTTTGCCTACCAGATTAGCAAACTTTGGAAAATTGATAACATGTAGTATGAGTCAGAGTATAGGAAAAACAAACATTCTGATATGGTATTTGGGGAGTGTAATTGATATAACTGTTTTGTAGGACTACAGCCTGTTAAAAGAACTCATGCCTTATACAAATGCATAAAATTATATATAGGAGTATTCAGTAAAGCACTGTTCGTAATAGTGAAAAGTTAGAATGACCTACACAGCCATAAAGACTAGTTACTTTCTAATAGCTACTAATTCTGATAGTTTCCTAAGTACTGATTCTGGGCCAGACACTCTGCAAATCTGTTTACATTCCCCTAATCTTTACCCTGAGCCTGTGAGAGGCATTGGGAATTTCATTTTATGGCCAAAGAAACAGGTTTAGCGAAGTCCAGGAACTTGCCCAGGGTCCACATTACTAGTAAGTAGCAGAGCCAGAAATTGAACTTACGTTTGACTCCAAGGGCTGTGCTATCCTGTCCTCCATGCGATATTATGTTACAGAACTATTGTACAAAGGGAGCTAGATAGACTATTACCAACTTGTAAAGCTATCCAAGATATGTTATGTGAAAAGGCAAGTTGCAAAGCAGTATATATAATATGATCCCTTTTTTAAAAAAATAATTCTTACTATGTAAATATATGCATTGTAAAAAAAGTCCAGAGAGATAAACAACAAATCATAAATGTTTATTATCTCTTAAAGGGGTAGGATTCCTATATTTACTATTTATATAATTTTAGTTTTCAGCAGGTAGGTGTTACTTGTTTATAACTTTTTAAAAGACTTAAAAAATCAAATATATTTTTTTTACAAAGGGTCAGATTTTCACTTTCTTCTTTCTATCTTCTAGGTGATTCCAGTGAATTCTGCAGGCTCTCCTGTCGGGGATGTGCCATTCATTCGATCAGGATTGCTGGGGTTTGTAGGGCCAGTAAGTGATGCTTTCGTGTTTGATTTGGTGCCTCTGATCCAAATATTTGGACTTTAATTCACAGAACAGAACAAATTCTGATTAGTCCAAGAATATTATAAGGCCACTTAACTTATATTTAGAGCAGTTCCTGTAAGAATGTTAAAAATGAGTTAATATTTATTACTTTTATTACCCAAATTCTTTTGACTCTTTTATATTAAGACATTATTTTTTACTTTCAAAAACTCTTTTCACTTATTCTTGCTACCTTTCTTTGACTTGATTAATAAGTTTAAATAAGTTAGAAGAGTGCTGAGAAAAGTCACCTTCAGGAGCAAAGGAAAACAATTTGTTTTCCAGCAAATAATATTTACAGTCACTGGATAGACACAAAGCTGTTCTCAAAGAGTTCACAGCTTAGCTTCATGAACCAACAAGAAGGGCAGAGAGCTAGATTATGAAAGGCCTTGCATGAAATAATGGGAAGTTTGGATTTTATTTTATAAGTGATAGGCATTCATTATCATAGTTAAGCCCACATACTTCCATCCATCTCTAATTACCTCCTTATGCACTCTTTCTTCTTCTCTTAACAGCTTGAGTCATATAAGAAAAGACCTAATTTTATTTCATTTTCTCCACCATTTATGGGAAATGATGGGGACGAGGACATACCTCTAAGAGAATCACTTTCGTAGAAAGAGGTCTATAAGTCTATACCTGCTGTCTTGATTTCTTTACCCAACACCAAGAAATTCTCAAATACCCAACCTCTCTTTAGCTTACTGCTACACTGTTGATGTCCAAGATGGAGCTCCAGCCATCACATCTACATTCTAGGAAACAGGACAGAAGAAAGGACACGGTCCTACTATCTCTTAAGGGAGATTCCCTGAAGCTGCTGAAAAGCATTTCTACATATCTTATCATTCTGAACTAATCACATGGCTATGTCTAGTTGCTAGGGAGGCTGAAATGCAGTCTTCATTTTGATTAGCCATGCCCAGCTAAAAAATATATTACTGTGAAAGAAATGGAGAAATGGACATGGGAGACTAACAGTGACTGTCTCATTTCTTTTATTTATTTCCTCCATAGCACTTTTCAGGCTATGTTGGAGATGGCTGGTTCTCTTCTATCTTCTGGGATGGACTAGTAGCTTCTTGAGACTAGAAGTCGTGTCTTACTTCCATAGCCTACCTAGTCACTGTGTGGCACTGCATTGTAAATCAATGAGTGACTTTCACGTAGAGATGACTACTAGATAATGAATAAATATAAATGACCCAAGAAATCTAGGAATTCTGTAATGAACGGAAAAAGTTATGTTATTGTAAATGGGTCTGGGAGAATTATTGATAATAATTATATTAAACAATAAAATTATTTATACAGTTATGTATAAACAATAAAATTATTTATACAGATGCTTTTAGGACATTGACAGCAGCCTTTCCTGCAGCTCCGTTATCTTACTGAAAAGGAGAGGTTCCTACAGTGTTTCTTTGACTTTTCCTTATTAGCCTATTTCTAATCTTGCCAGATGGAAACAGCATTACTCTTATAAACTTGAAGTAGTCATTCTCACGTTAAAACTGTTTTAATCTCTTCCTAATTTTAGTATTAAATAACTTAATATTTTTCTCTGTATCCATCCCATGATAAGTACAGAAGATGAACTAATACATAATCATGGCTGGGAAAATAAACTGTGCTTGTATGCCATCCTAGTTGCTTTCTTATAAAATTCCTCCCTAAGAATAAATATGAATGGGTTCCCCTCTTATCTACTGTGAGACCTCATTAATCATAAGATGCCACTGATTTCCAAGATGTTGAGATGTGAAACACTTTCTTAAAATCCAAAAAGTATGGTTTGGTTTTTTTTTTTCTTATATTTTTGATAAGATTTATTTCAAGGCAGGAAGTAAAATGTCTGTTTTACACTGTAAATTATGGAAATCAAGGTAAATCATTATTACCTTTCAGGGCAGCTTGGTGTTCGTGGTTGGAAAAATGGACGGGTTACTGATGGTTAGTGGTCGAAGACATAATGCTGATGACATTGTGGCTACTGGATTGGCTGTTGAATCAATAAAGACTGTTTATAGAGGAAGGTGAGTAGTACAAAGTTCAAATGTTAGCATTATAGGGTGATTTGAGTTGTATTGTGTAGATTCTCTTTCCAAATGATTAGGTTATTTTTGGTTAAGCGTAGCAGAAACCAGGCTTTGAATATTTATCTTAAAATATCTTTGTAATTGAGAGGAATAAGGTATACTCATATCCTGTATTTCAGTTTTTAATGGACTCAAGGAAATTCTATGTTCCTACAGTCATTCCTTCAGTACATAAGTAGTCCCATTCAGTCTGATGGAGATAAATGCTACTCTGCAGGATTGTTTCTGTTACTAAATTATTATATCATCTTTAACACAGGGATTGACGTAGTACTTAAGTGCTAATTTCAAATTCCATGGATGAAGTCAATTATATATCCTTTTTTCTTTGCTTTAATGCAAGAAAAGATATTTGGTATATATTCGAATAATTGATGTCCTATTCAGTAGTCTTTAAAGCGACCTTGGTGTATCCTTTTAATTTTTAAAGAAGAAAAATTAAACCAACAGAAAACCAGTTCCTGAAACGTGTAGTTCTTTGTAACGGTGTGGCTTCCTATGAGATATAAACTCTGTGGAGCACTAGACCTGTCTTTGGTCACAGCTGTGTTTCCAGCACTGAGCACAGTACCTGGCACACAGTAGGTGTTCAATAAATATGTGTGGATGGAAAGAAGGAAAGAAAGGCAGGGAA